GGCAAATCTCGCTGATGGTGGAGCGGGAGGAGTGCACCAAGGCGTTGCGCGCCGCGCACGCCGCGCTCGCCCTCTCGGACACACAGGCGGGCAAGAGACGCCGTTCACACCCTCCCCAGCGGTGGCAGCACGCCGCCCTCATGATCTGCTGCTGCGAGGCCATCGGGAATAGCTCCAGCCGCCTTGAGGTCCTCTCACATACGCCCGCAGGTGCCCACTGTGGTCGTCCGCACACCACACACACACCAGGCCTCACCTGCCCGCACACCACACACACACACAGCAGGCCTCACCTGCGGTCAGGTGTCCATCGTGGTGCTCCCTACCCCCACGGTACCCGAACCCATACCCTACCCCCGCGGTACCCGAACCCACCCGCAGGTGTCCATCGTGGTGCTTGGCTCGCTCGCCGAGGCGGGCGAGTCGATGGCGGGCGAGCTGTTAATTAACTATTAATTAACGATTAATTAACTATTAATTAGGCGGGCGAGTCGATGGCGGGCGAGCTGCTCAAGCTCCTCGCAGGGACGGGCAGGCTCGCGTACCGCGGCTCCTCCCTATATACACACATATGTCCTTTCCTAGACCTTTCCTAGAGCCTGCCTGGAACCTTCCTGCAGGCTCGCGTACCGCGGCTCCTCCCCGTCCTTTCCTAGACCTTTCCTAGAACCTTCCTGGAACCTTCCTGCAGGCTCGCGTACCGCGGCTCCTCCCCGTCCTTTCCTAGACCTTTCCTAGAACCTTCCTGGAACCTTCCTGCAGGCTCGCGTACCGCGGCTCCTCCCCGTCCTTTCCTAGACCTTTCCTAGAACCTGCCTGGAACCCTCCTGCAGGCTCGCGTACCGCGGCTCCTCCCCGTCCGCACTCACCGGCGCCACCGCGCAGCTGCCGACCTCGCTCGACGGGCTGGCGATCGACCTTAAGGTTAACTAACTGTTAATTCATCGTTAATTAATATTTAATTAACCTCGCTCGACGGGCTGGCGATCGACCTCAAGGTTAACTAACTGTTAATTCATCGTTAATTAATATTTAATTGACCTCGCTCGACGGGCTGGCGATCGACCTCAAGGTGACGGCGCTGGCGAGCGCCTCCGCCTCCGTCCTCTCCAACGACGGCATCGACGTCGCGAGCCCAAACCTGTGGGCGAGTAATTAACGATTAATTGACGAGTAATTAACGATTAATTAGGCATCGACGTCGCGAGCCCAAACTTGTGGGCGACGGCGTCGAGCTCCGTCGGCGAGACGCTCGAGGGAGTCACCTTCGCTTGATTAACGATTAATTAACGATTAATTAACTATTAATTAGGCGAGACGCTCGAGGGAGTCACCTTCGCTTGATTAACGATTAATTAACGACTAATTAACTATTAATTAGGCGAGACGCTCGAGGGAGTCACCTTCGCTTAATTAACGATTAATTAACGATTGATTAACTATTAATTAGGCGAGACGCTCGAGGGAGTCACCTTCGCGGGCTGCGGCTACGCGGAGGAGGGCGAGGACTGCCTGGAGATGCTGACGACGCACTTGCTCGAGGACTTCAACGGCAACCGCATCGTCATCGACGCGACCGAGGACGCGCGCGTCGCGGAGCACTACCCGCGCTGGCTCACCCTCGGCGCCCACGATTGTCTCGTCCAGCACGCTCTACTTCTCGGACCTTTCCTAGACCTCTCCTGGAACCTTCCTGCAGGCGCTCACATTGTCTCCTCCAACAAGCTCGCGACGGGAGGTCCGCCGCCCACCGCTACCCATCCCCCGAGCTGCCACACCCGAGCCGCTGCCCCCGAGCCGCCACCCCAAACGGTCTAGGCCCGCTCGCAACCTACCGCGCCGCAAAGAACGCGCGCTCCGACGCAAACACGCAGTGGCTGTACGAGTGCTCCGGGCCCGGCTCCGGCCTGCCGGTCATCTCGACGCTGCAAGACATGCAGCAGACGGGCGACCGGATCCGGCGCGTCGAGGGCGTCTTTTCGGGCACGGTCAACTACGTCCTCGAGTCGGTCCGCGGCGGCGCGCCCTTCTCCGAGGCTGTGGCGGCGGCGGTGGCGGCCGGGTACGCGGAGCCCGACCCGCGGGACGACCAGCTGTGAACGGCGTCTCTTCACACCTCCAGCTGTGAACAGGTACGCGGAGCCCGACCCGCGGGACGACCAGCTGTGAACGGCGTCTCTTCACACCTCCTGCTGTGAACAGGTACGCGGAGCCCGACCCGCGGGACGACCAGCTGTGAACGGCGTCTCTTCACACCTCCTGCTGTGAACAGGTACGCGGAGCCCGACCCGAGGGACGACCAGCTGTGAACGGCGTCTCTTCACACCTCCTGCTGTGAACAGGTACGCGGAGCCCGACCCGCGGGACGACCAGCTGTGAACGGCGTCTCTTCACACCTCCTGCTGTGAACAGGTACGCGGAGCCCGACCCGCGGGACGACCAGCTGTGAACGGCGTCTCTTCACACCTCCTGCTGTGAACAGGTACGCGGAGCCCGACCCGCGGGACGACCAGCTGTGAACGGCGTCTCTTCACACCTCCTGCTGTGAACAGGTACGCGGAGCCCGACCCGAGGGACGACCTCTCGTGCCTCGACACGCAGCGCAAGATGCTCACTCTCTGCCGCGAGATCGGAGGCGCGCGGCGACGCTTGGGGGCCTCCCCC